CTATTCTTTCGACAAATCGTTGTTTTTGCTGAACTACGACTTCAGCCTTTTCTCAATCGTGTTATTAGACAGTTCAGTAGATTTAACAAATACCTATTACGTAATGCATCAGTTATTAATTCTAAATAATTTTCACCTCATAGCTCTATTTTGAAGTGTTCTAAAATGTTTATAAATTCTGCAAAGCGATTGTTATTAATAAACGATCCATCCTACCGGTTTTCAGACATTATCTTATTACAATCTCATACATAACTTGTTTCTCTGATTTCTATCTTTGAATGACCTCATTTCTATCAACGCATATCAATGTGTATATATGTATACACAGTTTTTGTAAGTAACAAATGAGAAACCATGACAAATAAAATGAATTCATATTATTCCGCCTCCATTGTTATTATTCAAATTAAGTATTCAAATATATATTGTTTTTCAAATTCAAGGAATCAATTATTCTATTTTCATTAAAATGTAAATTTAAGCATAGATTAGTGTTATAACAGATAGATTACTCTTATAAACTAATAACCAAATGAAATGGCAATTTTGAGCCTAATAAATATTTCTCAAGTTGCCTTAGTAAAATAAAAGAATCCCTACTTACTTACTAAAGCCTGTTACCCTTAATGGAGGATAGGCTGTCGACCAGCGGGCTATTTTTACTGGTTAGCGTTCTTTTAACGAGTTGGATTTCTACTGGATAAGGTCATTAAGCATATTTCCAACCTTCCTCCTTTATCAGGGCTTGGAAGCGGCAGTAACAACTGTAGGAGAGCTCCAGGCGCAGTTATATCTTGTATTCAATAAATAAAAATTTCATTGAATATATCCATCAAACAAATCTGGTTCGGTGGTTTTGTCACAAAAATTACGATTACATATAGAGAGTGAAGTAGTCGAACGTGTAGACCGCTTCCCTTATCTCGAGAGTCTCATCAGTGCTGATGGCCTGGTGACTGACGAAAACTCAGCACGGATACAGAAGGCTCGATTGGCTTTTGCCAACCTGCGTCACCTATGGCGTAGGTGAGATATCCGTTTACTAACCAAAAGAAGAGTGTACTGCGCAGCAGTACTGTCGTTAGGAAACAATTTTTAGGTAAGGATGGTAAATCAATAGATGAAGTAGTGAAACTTCATCAGTTGAGGTGGTTGAGACATGTGTTACGATTGCCTAACCACCGACTGCCTCGACGAGCTATGTTTTGTCGTGTAGGAGTAGGCTGGAAGAAAGTTAGGGGGGGCCAAACCAAAACATGGCAGAAATCCATGAAGTCAGTAAAACGTGGACTGAGTCCTGTTGGTAGATCTAGAATACCTGGTCGAGGTCCGCGAGACGAAAGTTACCAATGGTTAGAGACCTTGAATGACATGGTTCAAAATCGTTTGCAGTGACGCAGGTGCATCCACTCTTTGTGTTCTCTGAAATTCTAAGCTTCTGCATTCCTCATAATCTCTACCTTTTTCCTTCTAAATTTATCTTACTGAATTAGACTTCTCGAATCATATCTTCGCTCCCTAATCCTCTCGATTACTACTAATACTTCTATTATTGCTATCATTCTTGGATTTGAACCGACAGTTAGGTCTCGATGCTGATGGGGCATGGCAACCTGAACTGATGTACTTACGTACGAAGTTCTGCGTGTTGTATCTGTCTGTCTATTACGATTACATCAGTCACCACTCTGTCTTACAATGCATGAACTTGAATAAGAGTTTCGCCATTCATTAGTTCGAAATAAACTAAGTAACAGTGTGGCTCACAAACGAATCCAGAAGAGGTACAGTTAGGGACGTCAAGGGGTAACATGTCAGAATTATTAACAATCATATACTAACAATCTTACGTTGTAAACAATTGTTGTTCTTGTTGTTCGTTTCGTTGAATTCCTTAGAGTTTATTTCCTCGTTAAATCTCTTGTCTCGAGCATTTTACTACTACTGAGAAATTATTTAGTTTATGACATTTCTGTGAGGTAATTTGTCATTATTTCTGAACGATTCCATAGACTCCTGAAATAAGATTCATTTTTTATTCTATTGTAATGGTATTCTGTTACGAGTGTTCTGATTTTTGTTATCATATGATATGTGTGTCATTATACAATGAAAATTTGTTCATTCGTAACCTTTGTTGCAGCCAAGCGCTCAGTTCAATTTTGTAAACTCTCACTATTAAACTTGTCATAGTTCTATGTTTTTATCAAATTCATTGAGCAACTATTTTTTGACTGTACCTAGAAGGTTTTATAATGCATTAGACACTTTAATATTTGAGTATCGTTTTTGATGAAGTTAATCTTTCGTTTTAATTTTAAAGTTTCACTCATCAACTCAGTTGTTTGATCAGGATTCACTAGTTGTCGTAAATCAAAAGAATTTAAAAATAGAAACTTTGTCCAACTTTTTGTGGTTCTATAACTGAAAAATTTCTTAAAATTTTTCAACAATTTGATTGAAATGATATTTGTGCGTAGTTTGATCAAGTCAAACTTTATCTTAATCTATTTTCATCTAGGCATAGACGGAAGTATAACAAGTTTTAAATAGAGTATAATACAATCGAACCATTTCATATTTTGTTGCTTGTGATGTGCTAAAATAAACGTATTCAACACTTCGTGTTCACCTTCGGATTTATAACTATCAGGCACTACTTATTGACGATCACCTCGATGAGCGAATCACCAAGACTAAGAACACGTTGAGTATCATCCGTCACGAGACCAGTGATGTCTTGCACACCACATGCTTTCTTATCTAAATTTGAAGATTTCAAATCAGATCATCATCACAATCTTATTAAATTACTTACTGATGCGCTTTACTACCAATGGAGCATAGGCCGCCGATCAACATTCTCCAATCTACTCTGTCCTCCGCCTTCCTTTCTAGTTCTGCCCAATTGTTGTTCATTCTTCTCAAGTCTGTCACCATTTCTCGGCGTAATGATTTTATTGGTCTTCCTCTTTTCCTCTGACCTTGAAGATTTCAAGTGAGGTCTTGTCTTGTGACATAGTTGAATGCTTTCCTCAATATGTATCCTATTTACTTCCAAAGCTTCTTCCTGATTGTTTCCTCTGCTAGAGGAATCTTGGTTGTTCTCTTCCAAAGTAGGTTACTACTGACAGATCATAACAACACGTATGTAAACATGAATTTATCCACAAACCGTTTTATATTTACTTTGTTGTATATCGAAAACTCGTTGTTTTCCAACCATGATATTGATTATTTGGATAATGACGGATGACTAACTTTCATATGTCTCATCTTTTCGCATATACACTTCGTAATTGTTGAGGAAGTTAGATCCACAGAACCGATCATTTGACCTTCAGATCACATTTCCCACCAGGAAAAGCCTTGGATGTGGTTGGCTGTTGTGTGGCTATTTTGTGACTGTCCCAAGGACATCTTCCTAGAGTATAAATAAACGTGATTTGTGTTCTTGGATTCATTGTGTACTTGCTGGGTGTTTGTAGCATACAATTTCTACGCTAAATCAAGACTTCTTGCTGGTACATTTGGGTCAAAAGATCATTGTTTTTTTCTCGTTATTCGACTAAAGTGAACTCGTAATAGTTTAAGCATACTTCGAGACGAGAATAACAAGTAGTTTATAAAATATTGTTTAACCATATATCTTTTTTCAATGAGTTTTGTAAAAGCTAACTGGGTATAAAGACATTAAGCTCTTATTATATCATTCATTGAGTTACTCAACACAATAACTTTATTTTTGTTATGATAGAGTTATAGAGATTGTTATTTATTACTGAAATCATGAATGAATCATTGTTAGACCACCATTGAAAACCTAGAAGCACTGAAAGACGGCCATTTCGTCCTGGTATGGGACTACCGGTATTCGAAAGGTTCGCGGACGCTTACCTTTAGAACACCTAGCCGGTGCCTGACGGTGCTCGCCTCTAATTCTGATCAATCTAGGGGTTTGTCTTCGGTAGTTACTGCATACACTCGACAAGGCATAACTCCACTGGTCACAACTTCTGACTAGATCTCATGATCCTAGTTACTAGTGAGCAAATTGGATGATTTTTTCATGTTAGAGTTATGAAGATTGTTGTTTATTATTGTGAGTAGCAGGAGTCATGGATGCTGAATGCCAATAATGAGTCCCGTACCAGGACGAAACAGCCGTCTTTCAATGCTTTCAGTTTTCTAATGGCTGACTAACAATGATTGATTGATTGATTCACGATATCAGTAATACACTAACTTTAGTTGGCTTTATAAAAAATGTTATGCTCGTCACTAGGTATATTTAAAAACTACTACAAGTTCACCTTAGTCAACAAACGAGAACGAAACAATGAACCAGTGTCCAGGTAGGCTACTCTGATCCGTTGACCCAACGGAACTAACGAGAAGTCTTGATATAGCGTAGAAAGTGTATTCCATAAACACCCAACAAGCACACAAATCGCGTTTATTTATACGTCATAGAGACGTACTTGGGAGAGTTACAAAATACCACATTAAAATACACAACAGCCAATCACAGTCAAGGCTTTTCCTGGTGGGAAATGTGATCTCAAGGTCAACTGATCTGTCCTTAAAATAAATCCAAAATAAAGACATTTATCAAGCGAGTTCTGTGGATCTAACATCCCCAATGAAAAACAACAGATTGTCAATTCATCAAATATTATAACATCCGACTGATTAATGCGAATATTTCGTATGTTATTAATCTATAAAAATTTAGTCAAAATTAAATTTTTTGACTTTCTGTTTGTAATAAATGTTTGTTTTTTTTTCATAAAAGAAAAAAATTTAAACCAATAAGAATAGTTGTAGAATATGCCCAATAAAAACATTTTCATGCCTTTCATGACTATCGATGTAAATGCAAATATACATTATTTCAAACGAACGTAATTCTTTTTTTTTACAAAATGTACAGTTAAAGATAATCATATAAATTTTTTGTAAAAATAAAAACGACAGTGTACTAATTACTGAAAAAAATGACGATGAAGAATACTGATAGTGTGATTCAATCCAATATGCATGTTTCTTGTGAATTATATAAGAAAACCGGTCTGTTATTGAAATCCTCCTCATCGAAGAAAACATTCCGTTCAACGTATCAGTCGAACATGCTGATTAAACGTATTCATTGTAAAAAACAATGTGTTCATTGGAATGATCAGATTCAACCGAGAAACTCTTTATACTGTTTCATTTCTTCGTCTACATCGAATCGAATGTATTCGAAAGCTATATGTCATGCAGTGTCATTAGTGTCGTCACGATCCCCGTCATCCGCCGTATCATCATCATCATCCTCATGTTCAACATCGTCGACATCAACACCTTCACCTTCATGGTCTCCTTCATGCAATTCATCTTCGTTTAGTTCGTATTCATCTTTAGAAACAATCGGAATGTATTCAAATCACAATACAGAATCGGATAACTATTCATCTAGTGAATCAGAGAATACTTTCAATAATTCACTTCGGAATAAGCAATCATTGAATAGAACATCTGATTTTTGTAAGACATCAATGTCATCAGAATCATCGTCAACATCGTCATCATTAATGTTATCAAATCAAGTGTATACTTGTAAGAAATGTGAAAAAGTTTGTGTTAATCATAAGCGTAAGTTATGAACTTGGGATTGAACTAATTTACTGATAGACTTATTATTAGCTTGGGTAAAGTTTCGATGGAGTTTCGTTCTCTATGCAGCGGATGTTTTGGTTTTGGAGCTTTCAGTGGTATTCTTCTGAACTAAAACATCCTCATCATCATCAACACAAAACTTCCGGTGTAGCAGAAGTGAAGTATTCGAAGTATCCTCCACGTTTATGACTCGTAACTTGTTCTGTTATGCTCGATCTTGATTGATTGTTATTGACCCCATTGATTAGATCAAAACGAGCTACGAGTCACATGTGAAGAAATTTGAATACTTGAAGTTTGTGCTGATGATGTAAGCTCCAATAAACCAAAACATCCACAGATCAGAGAACGAAACTCCATCAGAGTGATCCACCTGAGCTACAAATTTTCTCCACCATCTCATTACTAAATTGGTCAAAATATATTTGTATAATGTTCAAAGTGTTTAAAATGACCGCGAAAAATGTTTTTTATGATAAACTGAAATTAATAAACTTAAACAAATCAAATGTTCAGTTATCCTTTTGTTTTTTTATATTTTTGACATTATCTCTTAGTTCTAACCGCCTAATCATTGAATAATGAATGAAACAAAGTTTTATCTAGTGACATCTAATCTATGTAGTTTCTGACTTTTAGTGATGAAATCCTTTACTCCAAGTCCCTAATTTAAACCCTTAAATACTTAACCGAAACTAAAAACAAAGTGGGGAATTTTAAAAACCCATTATGATCTTTTTAAGCGTGCAAAAAGAAGGATAATCCATATTTCGTTGCTCTTTTCCCATTAACGCATAGATTAACCTGTAAAAGACTTTTAATAGGTTCATTTATGATGTAAAATCTACTTACACTTAGCAATATCATTGTTTTCTTTTCCATAGCCTAACTACCTACAATGACTGTTTTCTGATTACGTAAGAACTAGTTGGAAAGTTATCACATTTGCTCTAAGCTTGTCAGTATTCTATGCTTCATAGAATCTTTTCTGTAAATAACTATTGCGAAATGTGTGTCTTACTTTAATTAAAACTTATTAACTAGATATAAACGCATTCCAGTGTTGATATTCACACGCAGGATGGAATACAATATTTACCGCTTACAATACATTACTTAAGGATAAGTGATGCTTGACCTTGAATTAATTCACACCCCAACTTAATTTTATATACTCACTCACTGTCCCAGCATATCATCAAAATTATTTCATCCTTCAAAATCACGAATCGATCAAAGATAGAGCACTATTAGAAACCTGGAAGCAATGGATTACCGTCTCTTCCTACTATGGGACTCATCAGAAGTACGCATCTACGACTGCGTAAAAGGGAATCGAACTATGGACCTTAGGTTTCGCGCACGAACGTTTAACCTCTTTACCTCTTTATCTAGTTTCATCCGCCGACTTAGTTGAACTCCGCTGGTCAGGGATTCTCATTTGAACTCTGAGAATTTCCTCAAGAAGCTAATCACTAGTAAGCACATGATAGTTTTGATTATAGGGTTATCAGGATAGGTGAGTTTCAGTGAAATTACTAAATCCTCATAGAAACTGAAAATATCTTTCAGTCAGAATAAAAGAGTTTGATCATTGTTGAGATTATGATTGCAATTCTTTGATTTTATTTCACTGAGTAACTGAAGTACCACTGATCATTATTCTTTTGTCATTATCATAAAAGCGTTACCATTATACGGTACACTTGCACATTTTCTAGTTTCAACTAGCTCATCACCTCCTTTCAGAACCTTCCATTGACTTTTCCCACCTCCCCAAACCAACCTCGAATAATATTTTAAATCTTTTATACTAACTTATGACTAAACTCCACCTGAAGCCCTTCTGGGGTTTGCTGTAGGTCCCAAGATTGGAAAACGGAGAAGGCTTTGTGCATGGGGTTAACAACCCTATCTCATAGAAATCTAACTCTCTAAAAAAACGCTTCCTAGAAAAAATTATTCTCTGGTCAGTGACCGATGCTCCATCAGGGTTGAAAGGCGAAAGCAAGAAAGGAAGTATGTTTTATTATTAAACCATCCGGACTAAATTACTGAATTTCGTGAACCACTTCGTTTGACTTTTTGTTATTTGAGACAATCAGTAAAAATTCTTAGAATCCGGCTTTTTGTTAGTCAGTCAGTCAGTAAGGCAGATACAACGTAGAACTTCGTAAGTAAGTACATCAGTTCATGTTGCCATACCACATCAGCACAGAGATATAATTGTCAATTCAAATCCAATAGTAGAAGAGGTAGTAAAGGTATTAGAAGTAATCGGAGAGGTTAGGATTAGAAGATATTATTCAAGAAGTATGATTCAGTGAGATAAGTTTAGAAAGTCAAAACTAGAGTTGTTGAAGAACCCAGAAGATTAGGATTTGAGAGAACACAAAGCATAAATGCACCGGCGCCATTGCGAACGATACTGAGTCATGTCATTAAGGATATCTAACCGTCGATTATTGTCATCTCGCGGACCACCCCAACCAGGTAGTCGACAATTACCGAAATGGCTAAGTCCACTAATCAATGGCATCATGGATTTCTGCCATGTTTTGGTTCGACCGCCCCTAATTTTCTTCCAACCTATTCCTACACTACAAAACAAAGCTCGACGAGGCAGTCAGGGGTTAGGCATACGTAACACATGTCCCAACCACCTCAACTGATGAAGTGTCACTACTTCATCTATTAATCTGCCATTCTTACCTAGCACCCGTTTCCTAATAACAGCGTTGCTCACTCGGGTGTCCGACGATATACGAGCAATGCTTCGGATACACCTATGATCGAAAACCAATAACTCACGAATATCTTCTACTCTCACTGGCCATGTTTCACAGCCATAAAGTAAGACGGAGCGAACCACTGCACAGTACACTCTTCCTTTATTCAGCAAACGGATATCTCGCCTTCACCATAAGTGACGCAGGTTGGCAAAAGCCAATCGAGCCTTCTGTATGCAAGCTGAGATTTCGTCAGTCACCAGGCCATCAGCACTGATGAGACTCTCGAGATAAGTGAAGCGGTTTACGCGTTCGACTACTTCACTCCCCTATCACCAGTTCAGGTGCCGATGCAACCCAGCCTTTTTGTTAATTAGTTAGTTAGTTAGTTCTCTCCACTCACACTACTCGTCATGCTCCCTAATATATAAAAGGTGCCTTATCGATTACTTAAAAAGGTTACCCTATTTTTCAAGATTAAATTTTAATAAAACACTCAGTAAATAAACAAAGATTTTTTTCAAATTATCAGAATTATTTTATGATAAGTGATTTATTAAAAAATATGCATAAATAATTTTGAAAATGAATTTTGTTTTAATGATTGCAATCATATTGATTACTAATTTGAAAATATATAACATCATATAGATCATAGTTTCGAAACTGATTCATTAATGTATGCCTATATCTGCTGTACATATATCTATACATATTCATATTAATCGACTTTAAAATCTCTCGCCAAAGAGCTTAAAATGAATGATTGATCGGTTGAATTCCTCTTTTCCAGTTTGTTTGAAAAAAAACAACTTGATCCAGTTAATAGAAATATATTTTTTAAAATAGTTTTATTTATGTTTAATTTTTAAAGATGATAAATTCGCTAAGCTTAAAATATATTTTGTGACGAAGAATAATTTTTAAGATAAAATCTCCATTTCTATTTGTTATTATCAAGGAAGAATATTGAAAGGGATGGTGACTTCCAAGATGGATTTACGGATGATTATTATCATTATTATTATGTAATGTAGATTCTTATTGCATATGTGTGAATTTAAAAATCAGGTACACAAAACATGACTTACTACTGGGTATCTCATCCCTGTGACTGAGTGAGTGAGTGACATGATTCTGACTTTCAGACAATTTGCATTACGGAGTTGTGAAGATTGTTAAGGTACACATCTTCGAAACCATGAATCGATCAGTGTTAGACCACCGTTAGAAACGTGGAAGCACTGGACGGCCGTTTCACCTTAATATCGGACTCATCAACAGTGAGCATCCATGACCCTTGCACCTCACAGGATTGGGACCCAGGAATTTCGGTCTTCCGCGCTAACGCCTAACCTCAGGACCACTGAGACGGCATCTGACGGTGTCAATGTCTAACTTGAACAATTCACGAAGTTGCGCAACCTCATATACAGTCTTCAGTAGTTATTGTCTATACCTGAACAGGTTGAACTTCACTGGTCACAATTGCCCGCTAGAACTCGGAGAAGATTCCTCACGAAGCTAGTCACTAGTGATCACAGGTAATTTGCATTACGGGGTTGTGAAGATTGTTAAGTTACACACATTTGAAACCATGATAACCGTCATCTAAAAGTAAAGATGTTAGATTACCAGGATAAGTTGCAAATACACAACATTTCTACTTTATTTACGCCTGTTACACCCGAGAGAGCAGAGGCTACCCAAAAGCATTCTCCAACCTACACTGTCCTGAGCCTTCCTTTCCAGTTGTGTCCAATTTTTGTTCATCCTTCTCATGTCTGTCTCCATTTCTTGGCATAATGTGTTCTTTGGTCTTCCTCTTTTCCTTTGACTTTAAGGGTTCCAAGTGAGCACTTTCCGTGTGACGCAGTTGGTATTAATGATAACCTTCAACTTTAAATGAAAACTCTGATGGTAAATTCACAATATTTACTAGCATTAACTGATATGCAACTGCTGTGAGTGTAAAGACTGATCATTCTATCATAATATTTACGATAGCAAGAAAAGATTGTTCCAGCGGTTAGGCATTCATGCGTAAGATCGTAAGTCCTGGGTTCGAATCTTGCCAGTTGCAACAGTCGTGGATGAGCACTGCTGATGAGTAGTCCGGTACCACGACGAAACGTCCGTCTTTCAGTGCGCCCAAGTTTCTGATGCTTGTCTAACAATGATTGATTCGTGAGTTCTGTGTGTAAAAACATTGATCTCTATAACTCTAAATGGAAAGAAACGTATCTTAAATAAACAAC